TCCTGAAGGCTAAGTCCTCTCAACCGTGCCTCCATAAGAGGCAGCAATGTCATCCATTGTCACTGGCAGCTTTCCTTGGCAGACTGGAACCCCTGAGGGCAGAGGCTGGGAATGAATGAGTCAAGCCTGAATCCTGACCTGGGACTGGGCACGTAAAGATGCGGGGGAGGGGAACGTGTCTGTATTCAGGTCAGGGCAATAGAGACTCCCTCTTGGAAGGCTGAGGCAGAAGGATCGCCGGAGCCCAGCGGGTCGAGGCTGCGGTGGCCGGGAGCAGCCACTGCACTCCAGTCTGGGCGACAGAGTGAGACTCCAACTCAAAAAAATAAAAAGTAAAAATAAAAAAATAACAGAGGTGGCTTAGCCTGTAATCCTGCACTTGGGGAGGCTGAGGTGAGTGGATTGCCTGAGCCCGTGGGTTCGAGACCCGCCTGGGCAACTTGGCAAGACCTCATCTCTACAATAAATCAAAGTATTAGCCAGGCGTGATAGTGCGCGCCTGTAGTTCCAGCTACTTGGAAGGCTGAGGTGGAAGGATCGCTGGAGCCCAGCAGGTCGAGGCTGCGGTGGCTGTGAGCAGGCCACTGCACTTCAGCCTGGGCGACAGAGTGAGACTCTGACTCAATAAATAAATAAATGGGAAGACCCCGCTTATTTTTAAATGAGACCCCGTTTATTTTTAAATGGGGAGATCCCTTTTACTTTTAACTGGGGAGACCCCATTTATTATATAAACCTCAAGGAGGTAGAGCAGAATGCAACCTCTTTAAGTGTGGGCTGCGCACGGTGGCGTCCTTCCAAAGGGCTGCACATGGCGACTTCCTTCCAAAGAGCCATGGAAGGGTAACTTTGCAAGGGAGAAGCCCCAGCTCAAAGTCAACATCAACAGGGGTAAGTCCTGTTTGTAGAATGTTCCCTTGACATGATAAGCTGAGAATGGCACGTCACTCCTGGGGTCTTCCTCCCAAAAATACATCCCCAGTCTAATCAGGAAAAAGCCATCAGAAATCCCAGTCGAGGAATGTTCAACAGAAAGCCTGACCAGTGATCCACAAACTGTCGCAGTCATCAAAAACGGTCATGGCCAAGAGCCTAAGGAGTCAGGATGACGAAATGTAGCACGGCGTTCTGGGTTGTGGGTGGACTCCTGAGAAGAAGGACATCAGGGTAAGCTGAAGACAGAAGCACGAGGCTTGGACTCAGGTTGCCAACGGAGCCTTGGTGTTCATTCATCAGTAGTGGCAAATGCGTTAACAACAGAGGAACCAGGTACCAGATGCAAGAACTCTCGGTTCCATGTTCACAATGTTTCTTTGAATCTAAAACTGTTCTAAGTACATGCTTATTGTACCAAGTATGGAAAAGACAGAAAAGCAAGAAAAATAGAGCTTTCGCCATCCTATAACCCAGACACAACTGCCCTGAGCATCAGCCTCCTTCCCTCCCGCCTTGTTGTGACATATCCTGAGTCTATACTATTGAAATCGTAGTAGGTGCAATTTTCTAGCCAGAAGATGCATTTCTAATCGTGGAACTCCAAGCACCAGGAGGAGAGGTCAGGGAGAGAGAGATCTCCAAGCCAAAGGGTCTTCTGGGGAGTTCCCACCTCCTGTTGATGGCAAGTCAGGACCCAAGTGGACAATTTAGAAACATCCTCTGGACTAGACATGGTGGCTCACACCTGTAATCCCAGCACTTTGGGAGGATGAGACAGAGGACCGTTTGAGCCCAGGAGCTCAAGACCAGCTTAGGCAACATAACCAGATCTCGCCTCTGCAAAAATATTTGAAAATTGGCTGGGCATGGTGGTGCATGCCTGTAGTCTCACCCAATTGGGAGACTGAGGCAGAGGAATCACCTAAGCCCAGGAGTTTGAGGCTGTGGTAGCCATGAGCATGCCTCTGCACTCCAGCCTAGGCGACAGAGTGAGACTCAAAAAAGAAAAGTTATCTGGCTTCCTACGTGTGCAAGTTTGGGCGACCCAGAAAATTCTCTACTAAACCTGGTGAAATCTCAAGGAAGGCTGCCCACCCCAACCAGGGACCTGGCTTCCCCCACTGGACATGAAAGGGTGCTCCCGTCATAACACACCCATGACTCGATAAAGCATGGCATGGTCTCAGGACGGCAAGGGCCCAATTTAACCCTCCCCAGAGGGGCCACATCCACAAATAGCTCACAGTACGCACACTCGTCATCCATGGCTGGCTCCAGATGACAACCAGCAGGGGCTATTGGCACATCTGGACCACAGCTTCTCTTTTTCCATCCAGATGTTCAAGGTGCCATTAGCACACCTGCTACCTGACTGCTAGGCCACAGGAAAGCCCCCAGTCCCTGCCCTTTCTGGGAAGGAGAGAGGATGCTCACCACAGGGGCAGGAAGATAAACCCCCAACTGGAGTCAACTGGCAGCCGCATCCCGGAGATGACGCCTGAGCCAGGTGTAAGGCTTCCAAGTGTACACCTCTGTTCTCATGCCTTTTTCTCTAGAACATCCCATGGCTCCCCATGATTCACATGCTAGACAGTGGGTCTCCACTGGGAGCAACCGGACCCCATATTTAGAGACATTTTTAGCCATCACAACCGGCTGGGCAGGGAAACGGGGAGGTGATACTACTGACATCTACATTGTGGCTAAACTTCTACAATGCCCAATTCAGGCTCCAACAACAAAGAATTATCCAGTCTGAAATATCAGTGGTACACAATAGGGAGGGTCCAAACTCTTAACTTGTCACTTAACGTCACTATCACGGTCTCCTTCCTAACCTCCAAGCTGGTCTCGGCAGTGTCCCTGTATAAGCCACACACATACACACACACACACACACACACACACACACACACACACACACACGTCTCTCCTCACCTGTTTCTCCTTCCCTTCCATACTGCCCACAGCCAAACTCTGCACCTCCTGCCAATGGCACCACCTCTAGGAAGTCTTCCCTAGGCCCACACATTCTCCAGGCCTATGAGCAGGGACTGGATATCACGTAACCCTTTACAGGTGAGGACCTCAGATGGTGTGATCAAGAAGAAACCTCAAGAGTCTCAAAGCCCAGGGTTTGCAGGGCAGTCTCCGGGCCCAGGCAATCTGCAAGCAGACTTGGCACAGGAATTTCTTTTTTACCTTGTGCCAGTCAGCAGCCTTGAGACCTCAGAAGATGTGACATAAAAGCCTGTTTCCTGCCTATCTAAGCATCAGGAGAGTGGATGCTGGGGCCCACTTTCCTTCATGGTCAATCAGGGTGAACCAGCAAGAGCTCCCCAGGTCACTGCAGAACCCTCCACCCCCACTGCAGTCACTTACATGACCTGTCTGGACCCTGGAGGTGTCGAGATTTAAGACCTCTGACCAGTCCATGTCCTCTTACCCCTGACTTTATAAAGGGGAAACTGAGACCCAGAGAGAGACTGGTCTGAGACCACATAGCCCATTAGAGGCAGACCTGGGTAAGGACACAGGGCCTGCTGCCTGTGGGATGCCTCCGTTTACTGCTGTCCTTCCAGCAATGTTGCATAGTCTTGAGCCTGAAGGCCCCAAAGACAGGGTGCCAGGGCAGTCAATGGGTCATTTGCTTCTCTCAGCTGAGCTGGGTAGGACGACCTCAAGCTTCTCCCAAAACCAGAGTCCTGGGAGCTGGCAGCTTGACTCCCAGTGTGCTGATGGCAGGGCCATGTCTGACACACATTAATAATCAAGCACTCACTGCATGTCAGGCACTGTTCTGCATGCTTTGCAAATATTTCCCTCACAACAACCTATCAGATAGGTAGTATTACTCTCATTTCCAATTTTTTTTTAGATGAAGAAAATGAGGTTCAGAAAGGTTAAGTAAGTCACCCCAGGCTGCACAGCCAGGAAGCAAGGAGGCCAGGATTTGCAGACAGGATCCCGGATCCAGAGGCTGGGTGCTAACCCCTAAGTAGCATCGCCCCTCTGAAGGCTGGGCCCTTGTCCGCCCTGCCTGTGACATCACCCCTCTGAAGGCTGGGCCCTTGTCCGCCCTGCCTGTGACAGGAAGCAGATGCAGCCAGGTCCAGGCAGTTACCACAGCCCAACCAGCCTGCGGATTTAGGCCAATTTTGAGGAAGTCAGGCTCTTCCAGGTTCGAGAGGACTGGTAACCATAGCCTTGAGTCACCCTAGGAGGAAGTCGCCTGGGTCTGGGGGAACTGGGTGTGGCCAGGGGTTTGGGGGTGGTGGTGGGTTTAGACAGGACAGAACAGGGACCCCAACCTTCAGCAACCCCAGATGGAGAGGGAGCCCTGACCCCAGGGGCTATGATTTGCCCTGAACCACACTGTGGGTTAGATAAAGGACACACCAGTTTCTAAGGGGAACCCTAGCCGTTACCTCAGGCAGCCCCACGGCTCAGGCCAGGCGAGTTACCCACTGATTAGCACAGAACTCATGTTTTCCTAGGTTGGGAGAAGGCCATGGTTTGAGCCATAAACTAAGAGGACTCAGCCCGCTGCATCTGCACTGGAAGCACAAAGGGGAGATTCCTCCTTCGCGTTCCCTGGATAGCCCAGGTCCCGTCCAGGCCCCACAGGAAGAATCAGGGCTGCATCTGTGTCTGGGGCCGACCTTGCATCCTGGCAACAATCCCAACTGAATTTCTCCCAAGACTCCTGGCTCCAAAGCACTTTCCCATCTGCTGCTGTGTTTACACACAGATAATCTCATGGTTCCTATTGCGCCCACTTCACAGAGACAGAAACTGAGCCTCAGAGCGAATGTCAGTCACATTTGCTTGGAAGGAGGACTCCTGCTCCCCCCACTGCCCACTCCCTGGGCAGCTGCAGGGTCCCCTCTCCCCATTTGATGGAGGGGCAAACCGAGGCCTAGAGCAGAAAAGGATTTATCCAGGGTCCCACAGAGAGGTGGTAAGTAGCTGTCCTTCCATGTGAGGGACTCCATAGATCAGGGGCCACTCACTCACACATACACACACAGGGCACAGCCTCCCTGGGCCTGCTGCGTACTTACCATATGGTAGAGGGCCAGGGTGGTGGTGGCCACGCGGACATTGAAGCAGCAGCAGGTCTGGCGGCTGGCAGCCCTACGGGGGTCCATGGTGCTGCCGTCCCCTCCGGTGAGGCACTGAGGAGAAGGAGTCTGGTGCTAGAGCGGGGAGAAAAGGGGAAACTGCTGGCTGCCCTCCTCACTTCCTTCCTGCCCCTTAGACAGGCAGGGGCAAGGTTGTCACAGCTGGGGCGGGGCCCCTAGGGCAGGGAGTAGGGGGGGGCCACAGCCTGACTCAGAGATCCCCAGGGAGGGACTTCCCGGGGACAACTGACCCTCGCACCTTCCTCCTGACCTGCCCTGCACAGGGCTGGGGTTCAGCAGTTTCATGGCCCTGCTCACTGGACACACACCACCACCCCTGGAAGCTGGAACTGCCACCAAGCTCATGTCCAGAAGAGGAAACAGAGGTCCAGAGAGGCCAAGACACTCGCCCCAAATCACACAGTAGTTAGTGCTGGTGGCAGGATTCCAACCCAGATCAGTCTGGCTGCAAGAACAGCTATTGTGTGGTAAGCATTCTCCACATGCTCTGGGCATGCTTCTGGAAGAACTCCCTTAACCCTCACCTCAACGCTCTGAGGGAGGTACTGTTATTCCCGCCATTTCACAGATGAAGAAACTGAGGCACAGAGAGGTGAGACAATTTGTCCAGGGTCACACAGCCGGTCAGTGAAAGAGCGGGGATTTGAACTGAGGCTGATGGGTCCTAGAAGCCACCCTGGAGTTGGTGTTCCTCTCCCTCCCTGACCCCAGCTTCAGGGAGAAGCGTGCTCTTCTCGTGCTCTGAAGAGGTGTGCAGGGCCCCAAACCAGGACAGGAGAATAACTGCTAAGCAAATCCACCAACCACATGCCAGGCCCTGGGCTTTTGCACGAGCAGGACCAGCTCTTCATGGCAATCTGGGAGACCCTCAGTCAACCCCCATCATGGGCCTCAAGGTTCCCTGTTACTCACAAAATTGGAGATTCTTTTCCCCTTGCTCTCGGGAAAAATTGGAGTCAATAAGCCATGACTATGAAGCAAGCTCTATCTAATAGAGGGTATCTGTCTCCCTTCTCAGATGCAACATGGCTGGAAGAAGCCCTGCTTTGTCCCCAGGCCAAGCTCCCTGGCAGTGCCTGGCTTCCAGTAGAGAGCAGACAGGACCAGCCACGAAGCCCCGCCCTCCCATGAGATTGAGGATTTAGGATTGAACACTGCCATAGCCCCTAATCTCTGCCCAGGAGAGGTCATAAAAAGCCCCTAAGCTTCTCCTCCTAGGCAGGAGTTGCTTTGTTGGACCCACAGAACTTGTCTGATGGATTTGATCAAACCGTTCTCCATTTGCCAATGAGACCAAGGGAACTCTGTAAGCTTGGGGCTCCTGGGAGGTCCAGCCAGTCCCTTCCCTACTTCATTTTCAAGTCTGTTTATAGGCCTCCCTGACACTGAACATCATGCAAAAGTGATGCAGTTAAGAACTTGGGGTTTGGCATGGTGGCTTACACCTGTAATCCCAGCACTTTGGGAGGCAGAGGTAGTAGAATTGCCTGAGCCCAGGAGTTCAAGACCAGTCTAGGCAACTTAGCAAGACCTCGTCTCTACATTAAATAATAATTTTTTTTTAATTAGCTAGGCATGGTGGCACGTGCCTGTAGTCCCAGCTACTTGGAAGGTTGAGACGAAAGGATCACCTGAGCCCAGGAGATCAAGGCTGCAATAGCCATGATTGTGCCACTGCATTCCAGCCTGGGCAACAGAGTGAGACCTGATTCATGGTCTGGGTTCAAATTCTGGCACCTTCTGGCTGGGCCTTTGAAGTACTGAGAGAAATCCTGCCCTGTTCAAGAGCAGCAAGGCCAGAGGGCCTGGAGACTGGGAAGCAGTAACCAGTCAGGCCCTGGGGCCACGTTGGGGAGTCTGCATTTGATGTGCCAGGAAATCCCTCGAAGAATTCATACCATGCTAAATGGCAGCCATTCATAACACAGTGATTTGGTGAGACCAGAGCAGGCGTGGGGCCAATTCCCACAGACAGGAACTCAACATGCACATGGCGCGTGGGATGATTTCACACGGTCTACGGATGAACGTTTTTCATTTTTATAGTGATAAATTCATTTTAATGTGCATTATAAAAATATACATAACCAGACCATGAGTTCTGTGATTTTCCATTTATAGGCGTAATATAAAGTCTCATTTTAAAACAGATGCACTTAAATAAAAAAGCAGTAAGTCGATTTTTAAAATACATGAAGGGAGCCCTGCAGACATGGCAGACAGCCCTAGGGGGGTGGGTAGCACCAGCATGGGAATCCCGGAGCATGGGAATCCCAGCTCCCGCTCAGCAGCCGGGTGGTCTCAACGGAGACGCGGCCCTCTCTGAGTTCTTGATGCCCTCTCTGCAAGACGCAGGGCTGCGGTAAAGGCACAGTGAGATCATGTGAACACATCTGCCTGTTTTCTCCCTTCGGCCTCTCCCTACTCCCTCACCTCAATCATACTCAGACAGCTGGGAGGAGGCAGAGCTAGGATTTGAACACTCATCTGTCTGATCCTGAGTCCTGAGCAGATCACAACTGGCAGCCCATCATGGGCAAGTGGCACCCCCAGGCACCGACCCCTTCCTATAAGCACAGGAGTCCTGATGGAGTCCTTTGTTCTTCACTGGGTCACCAGCCCGCAGAACACACGAGTCCCTCAGCGGAGCCTCGATCGTTCCCTGTGGAATGGATGCCTGGCCTGCTTATTATCATCCCCACCCAGCGTCCTGAGGAGGGGACAGCTGCTATCCCAAAGGTACACATGACTAGACCATAACTAGACAAGGGGAAAAGCCAAAGGCCCCATAACTAGGAAGAACAACATGGCGCTTCCTCCCAACCCTTTGGTCAAGGCCACTGTGTTAGGCAGAACAAAGCCTCCCCCAAAACACCCACGTCCTAGCCCTGGAGCCTGTGCATACATCACCTACATGGCAAAGGGGCCTCACGGGTGTGATGAAACTGAGGATTTCAAGACGGGAGGATTATCCCGGATGATCTGGGTGGGCCCAGAGAAAGCAGGAGGTGGGAATATCAGAGTCAGAGAGAGAGCAGAAGAGCCCACGCAGCTGGCTCTGAAGAAGGAGGAAGAGGCTGTGAGCCAAGGAATGCAGGCGGTGTCTAGAAACCAGAAAGGGTGAGGGAACGGACTTCCCTCTAGAGGCTCCAGAAGCAGAATGTGGTCCGGCACACACCTAACTTTAGCCTCAGGAGACCCATTTCAGGCTTCTGGTCTCCAGAGCTGTAAGATAATAAATCTATGTTGAGTTAGGTCACTAAGGTTAGGGGACCTTATTACGGTGGCAGTAGGAAGTGAACACAGTTGCTCAGCAGGGTTCACCATGGAGCCCAGACCCGACGCTGGACACGATCAGGGTCCCCCAGCACAAGTGCAGCCCTTGGCTTCCTGACTGGGTGACCTTGGGCAAGTCATGGACTTCTCCAAGTCTCAGTTTCCTCTCACCCAAAGCAGGGATGAGGATAGTGCCCGTCTCACTGTACGTGCAGATGGTAACATTGCATATGCTCGCCACTTATATTCTGATCTTTTCCGTTACAGCTGTTAAGTTTTGAGCTTCTCCAGATCAGTTTTCATACTTCCTTTGCTGACTGGCGGAAGCCTTGAAAACTTCAGACCCTCCAGACTCAGCAAGATAAGAGGGAGGAAGTGCCCCCACGCTTCCGCCACCAGCGCAGGGCAGATACTGATCTTGTAAAACTGCACTTGTAAACTCTCCTTCTGACAGAGGGGTCTTCAAGACCCCTGACTTCAGAGATGAGTCCCGAATCCCAGAAAATCATCTTTACTCCTGAAACCATACATAATTCTGGGCAGTCATTCTGCTTGATAATTCGTTGCTTTGGTGTATTAACATTTAAACAGACCTCTCTGTTTCCTCAAAGGCAGAATTGCTTGTGAGTTTCCTTTGTTAAGTCAAAAGAGCATCATTGGAACTTCCCACTTCACCCACATGCCTGGAGGTAAAAATGAAACCCACAACTCTGCCAGGTCTCATGTTTAAACAAAGAGCTGCGGAGGCTTGTGTCCTTTCAGTGAAGCCAGGTGGAGCACTCAGGAGGGACTGAGTCATGGTGAGGAAGCCACACAATGGCAGCTGCTTAGATTATGATTATTTACTATGGTTCTTTCTGCTGTTAGTTGTATCCTTTCTCAGCTGAGCTTTCTTCAGTCCAGCCAGGAGAGGAAGACAGCAAAGCAGAGGTGATTGGCTCCTGCCAGCCCCCGAGGGCGTCATGGCCTGCCATGGGACACGCAGCCGGTCACAGCAGAACCAGAATGCATCCCTCCTTGGGGACAGCTGCACGGGCGGCCCACAAGGAGTGCCAGCCAAGGGTCACTCCAGGGATCTCCTCTTCCCAGGAACTCCTGGGTGCTCTCTGCAGCCTGTCCAGGCTGAAGGTCACCTCCCTGCCGCCCACTGGCTTGGGGCTCTCTCCTGGCTGCCTTCCCCACCTTATTTCTGCTTTGGGGTTTGGGACTGACATCTGTAGAGTCTAAAAAATATGAGAAATGACACAGCACTCCCTCCCGACTCCTGTCCCCCAACCCAGCACGTTCACGGTGTCCCACGGAAAAAGTTCAGGACTGGTACAGAGGCTTCCTGATGCCATCAGGGCTGGGGCCTGAGCGTGTCCTGTGGAAGGGGTTCAGGCCTTGACCTCAGAGGGTCACCTGACAAGGGCAGCTCACAGGCCTGGGGCCAGGGAGAGTCAGGCCCTCCAGTGACTATTCACTAAGTCCAGTGGGTAGACAAGGGACCTGCCTGTCTGTCAGACCCTCATCCAGGCAGTCCGGGGGTCTCAGGCTGCACCAGGGAGCACAATGAGTCCCCATCCCAGTCTGTTGATGTTGCCACAGGCTCTGCAGGAAGAAGGTTGCAGGGTGATGCCAGGCAGAGGGGGCACAGGTGGTAAACAGCCCAACAGCTGTGCTTGTGCCTTTGGCTGAGTATCAGCTCCAGGCACTTCCAGAGCTGAGCAGTGTGGACCGTGGGTGAGGCCAGTGCTGTCCGTGCAGGGCAGAATGCTGGCTCTGGAGTTGGGCAGTCCGGCTCCCCTCCCAGCTCTGGTCTCTGACCAGCCTCTGCCT